GGGGGGGTCCCTCCATCTGCCTCCTCTCGGCCGCGTGGTTTCTTTTCTCTTGACCTTTTTTTCTTCTCGTTTTAGTTTTATTAGTTGCCGAATTCTGCGTAGTTTGAGCTGCTCGCTTCCGGGGGATCGGGGATACCGGGGAGGGCAGAGACGCTAACCCGGCAGAAAAAGCACTTGGCAGTGGGAGGTTGGCTCCTCTCTCGGCGCCCTTCCCTGTGTTAAAATGGAAGGGGGTCCCGAAGCTAAATCCTTCCTTGGACATAATCCTTTTTATTCTCCTTTGGATATATAATGCCTTGAGGTGCTTTCCCTGTTTTCCTAAAAATCTATCTACTCAACTGATGTATGCTGTTTTGGGTGGGAGTGATGAAAAAGCATGAATTAGGCACGTTGTTACTGTAGGGCTGTGTAAATCGAGTGTGTGGGCAGGACAGGTGTCTGTGTGGTGCAGCCAAAATTGGGCTTTTCTTTTTCTGGGTATCTGCTATGTATGACTGAGGTAAAACTTCAGGTCTGTGCCCTAAGCAGGGTGGGAGTGGGGGAGATCGCAATTCAGGGTCAGAGGGAGAGCAAGGGTTGTTAAATGGCCCGACACTGACACGTTGCTTGTCAGGTATGTCTAGTATGCTGGGCCTAGGCCAGACTGGAAACCAAGGCAGTCACGACAACAAGCAACGTTTCCCCGTCTGCATGCGTGTAAAGCTAAATATAGCACTGAGGGGTGAAGAAAACTCTTTAAGAGGAATTCCCCTGTGAGAGGGGAAGAGGGCTGGCTACTCTCAAAGGAGGAGAATGGCCTGGGAAATCAAAACAGAGCAATGAACAAAGAGTTATTCTGTACCCTAGGCAGCTGTCCATCTAAGGAAGGAGTGCTGGGAGGGTTGTTCTGAATGAGATTAAAGCCTGAGTGGTCTGAGATACCAGCTCATCTGTGGGAAATGGGGACCCTGGCAAGCAAGGCTGTCTTTCTATTCTGTGTCTCTATTTCAAAAGCTTCATTCCTGACCCGGAGACCAGTGATTTTGGGGGTGGTGTGGAAATTCTTGCTTTCTCAACCTTATCCTATAGCTTCTAAATGAGGTGTCTTGGAGAGAATCTGCAAATCAGCTAAAAAATGAATGCTAAGTATACTTGGGACAGGCAGATAGCTGGTGAGCTCTGCTGGAGAGCACTAACAGCTAAGACCTAGCTGTGGTTTTGAACCAGTGAATGGGGATATCGCTCCTTTAAACAGGCAAGACTGAAACAAGCTGCTCTGGGTTTTCTTAAGCTTTTGTAAAAGAGACAAGAAAGTGCTGGTTTATCTTGGCTTAAGCTAGCAGCAACAGCACCACCACGCACCCGATGAGAATGTTTTTACGTTGTACAACAAATCCTTGTTTGTTTATGTTCTTAACAGCCTCTTTCTGCTGAGCTTTTGTAGGGAGGCACAGTGTGTTTACCTGTGCTTCAGTTTTATGAGTTATCTAAATGCTCCCCTGGAAATGCGGTAAGATATCATACCTGTTTTGTGATCTGGAGGATGAGTTACTGTTGCAGCGTTTCAAAATAACGAGCACAGTTTAAGATTCGAGTCCCATTAGCGAAGGAACGTACCTGAAGAAGAAGAAAAAAGCAAACATAGGAGTTTGTTTGTGTATCATGGAGTAATTAAAAAAAAAAAAAAAAGGTTTGTCTTGCAGTGAAGGTAGGAAGAAGCTGTATGCTGGTCGTATTGGCAGGTTATGTTACGTTACTGTAGGGGGTCTGGTGCTCTCACAGTACTGCAGCTGACAGCACTGTAGGTGGGATCTTTTCTAGCAACATTTGCACACCTGGCTACTTGGGCATGGATGTTGTGTTTAGAAAGTATGCTCTAGAGCCAAATACTTAAAACTCATTAGGACAGGTACTGTCAAGCATCTCTGTTTGAAATGATCAGCTGTGAGTGGGTTAATTGATGTTTGCGGCCAAAAACACTGAACGCTGCAGGCTCTTGGTATCAGGAATGCGTTTCTGAATATCAAGCGCTAGGTGTCGCAAAGCGGAGAGGAGGTATAGAAAGCGTTGTATGGTTTACCTGCTAGAGCTTTGCTTTCTAAATCAGAAGGCTTAGCAACTTTTCTTTCTATGTAAGGTAGCAGTCATCTTACGTTGGGAAGCTGGAACAGTGTTTGAGCTAGTGCTGATTTTAACAGAGTGTTACTATGCCTAGAAAACTGGTGGGAGTTCTTGTCAAAAGACTCGAGAACAGGAGAGCTTGTGGTACTCGCTTAATTCTTGTGCATCTCTGACTTGGGTGTGGTGTTCTTTGCAACTGTCCCTGTTGTTTCTGTAGAGCTCCTTGCATTAACTGCAAGGAGCAGTTCCTTCTCTCCCATTTGGGGAGATGAGTATCAAAGCTCCAGCTTGAGCAGGGTAGCTGTCCCAGGAGATTTATTTTAAAGCATATTCTCTAGAGGTCACTCCTCAGCTCCTGAAGGCAGAAATAGAGATGCTCCAAACACTTTATTTCCTTATGACTTTATGTAATCTCCCTAAACAAAACATCACTTTTGTTTTTGTTACAGCTCAGTGCGTCTTCCTTTTCTTCAGTTATTTGACCGCTGTTCTGCCCTTCAGTAGATAGCTGGGCGATACAGAAAAAAGCTGTCAGTTGGAATAGGGTAACCATTTGTGTGTGAATGAAGTAAGGAGGCAAAACTTCAGGTCAGGTGCTCCTACTTGAGTATGTTTCTCAAAATGTTAGCAGGTGTGCAAGAGTACCATGCCAGCACTGACAAAAGCCTTTTCCTTGGCGTGGTTTGTGGGACAGAGCCACATCATCTAATGAGCGCTTTGCTGGAAAATCAGCTTGCAAACAACAGTTCCAGAATGCATTTTGCAGCCGCAGTGGGGGTGTTAGATAATTAACAAACAGGAGGCTTTTGGCTACCTGTAGCCAAAAGCTACTGTTATTTTCTCCTTTGTTATAGTTGCTATGAGAAGTAGCATTAGAAAAACTAATTTATTGCAGTGAGGAACATACAAGGATGGCTCTCAGTGTGCCTGCATTTTTAATTAGAAAATGGGCAGGATCATGGAAGTAATACAGCGCTTTGTCTTCCTAGGTAGCTCCAGAGTAGCACTGCATGACTCAGACTCACATATTCTGACTGTTTTGCTTTTGAGTCATTAAAATGCGTCGTCTTCCTAGACTAAAACGTTTCGCAGGTTACCTGCCCCTCCCATGAGGTCATGTATTCTGCTTATATCTTGTCACTTCTGAAAATAGGGCCAGAAATACCAGATTATAGGCTACTAAGGAGAGGAGCCTGGGAAGCTATGAGTCTGCATTGGCCAGCGTACCGAGACATTCAGATTCGTAACTAATAAGGCAGAGGATAAATACGCTTGAGTCATACTGGGGAGTGGGATATTTTCTAAGATAATTGCTTTCATTGGGACAAGCCAGATGCTTTCTATGCCAGAGCAGTATGCTGACCTGACAGTACCTGTCCATCAGGGCTGTGAGTTGATCCTCCCCTTAAACACCATGCAGAGATTTGGCTACCTGTGTTTATGATGATCCTTTTACAACCTAAGCTGGTATGTGTTTGTTAAATACCATACCTGCTGCGTGTTGACTTAACAGATGTAATGGTTTGAAAGGTGAGAAGACTTCGACCTATTGATTGTGGCACCCGAGGGTCCGGTCCACCTTCTGTTGAGCATGGGAACTGCTGCCAGGTCGTAAAGCTGACCGAAACCAGCAGATGCAGTGTGTCGGTGGAAGAGATTTCTGCTGTGGCCCTGCCTAGAGTAGGGAAAAAGGTCTTTTAAGTCAGCGTAGGTAGACTGTTCTCCTTGGGATTTCCCAAGAAGCCAGTCTAGCTGAAGGGAGCCAGTTGTTTTACAGGTCCATCGTACCTCTAGCCTGACTCTTGTCTAGAAGCCACTAGCTGATAATTCAGCCCAGGTATAAATAGATGTTATGCAAGAACTACTGATCTGGACAGAGAACTGTATGTGCTTTCTTTACTGTCAAATTGGACTGTCCTCATTTACCTTCAGCCTAAACACATTTTTGCGTGCTCTTCATATATACTTTCTTGTTTTGCTTTAACCAGAAATATTTCTACTGAAAAAACTCGCAATGCGGATTGCTTTCAAGTAGCTGTTTTACTGACACAGACGGTAAAAACGCTGTTCTAGGCTGTACCATTGATGGCAATGTAAGTTAGTCCTAAAGTCAAAAACAGGGGTTATGTGAACCTTTTGCCTCAAACCAGTGTTTTTCTGAATCGTCTAAATGGAAAAGAGAAGTTTGGTAATGAGGTTTTAGATAGAACCAGTTAAATAAAATTAACAACTGCTGTAGCTTGCTGTTGCAAATTGTAACCTGGCTGTCCATTATGATTATAAAAGGGAATGGTGCTCTCCTTAAGCATATTGCAGGTATTACCAAAGGACAAAGTATGAATGTCTGCAAAGAGCAACAGCTTTTGAATTCAAAAGGTGTCTCGCTTTGATGAGGTTGAAGAGGGAACCATGTCAAGAGAGCTTCGTGCTTAAGGCTACTGCTGTGCTTCTGGCATTAATATAGTGATATATACCTTCTTTACCCCTTTTGAAAAAGCTTCTTGGAACTTAATGAAAGGAAACAACCACACACTAATGCCTCTTTGTACTGTCAAGGAGAGGAATGCAGTAATGAGGAACTGAGTGACTTGACTAAAGCCACGTGAGAAGCTCATAGCAGAGTCAGAAGTAGAACCAAGCTCTTTTAGCTGCCAGGTCTAAGCATGTGATGATGCTTTTTCTGTTGACCGTGGATGCGTATGTGAAGAGATCTCTCTGAAGCTGGCTATCACTGTTAACTCATTCAGACCCACTCTTAGATAGTGAACGGGCAAGGTAGAGAAAACTTATCTTTTGGCCTCAGTCACCTGAGGTGAGCGGGTTAGGATTACAGAGGTTTACATCCTTGTCACATAAAATGGCTCACATCCCCTAGGGTTAGCAGGAATCTGATGCTGTGCTGGGGTCACTGGTACTCTTGTGGTGGTAATGTAGGGCAGCCTGCTCCCACTTCCATTGACCATATCAATTTTCCATTTCTTCACTTGTATGGAAAATGGACCAAAGGCCGAGCTTGAAGCACGCAGGAGGTATGAAGTGTGCTACGGAAACGATAGTCAGGGCTCTGATTCACTAGCGAGGATGGCATAGCATGGATGACATTGCAGCTCCCAGCTGTCCACCCCACCCCACCCCACTCCCCGCTCCTGGGCAGCTGAGCCACCGTGAATCAGCTGCTGAATCACTCAGTTTACAGTGTGATGTTTTGAAGTAAATCATCACTGCTTTTGGTTTGCCTTAAAGCTCCTGACTGCAAACTGCAGCAGTTTATCAGCTGACTGATGAGCAGCTCAGCGGTCCCCGCACCAGAGGAGGAGGCCAGGCAGTAACCTTCTGTGGACTTTCAAGCTCTGTGCTGTGCTGGTGGATGGGAGCCCCAGCTGAGGCAGTCTGCAGCTGAAGAGGTGGGGTGAATGTGCACGCTTTTCTCTACGCCGTGTTTTCTGGTTGCGGCATTGTACTTTTCTCGGTGCAATTAGGGGAATGCAGTGGTATTCTAAAAACTCCACCCTGCTTCAGTAAGTTAGAGAAAGCGTAAAGTTTTAGTAGTGTGCTTATGTTTTCTCTGCATTTAATATTCTTGTCATCTTATTTCAAAGCTCTGAATTTTGCTATCAGCAGTTCCAGCTGATTTCTTGATGCTTTGTGTTGGGCCAGGCGATAAACGATGTTTTTTCCAGTGATGTTTGATTTTGAATTAAATGTAACATTTAGGACTGAGGAGCTTGTACTCAGCTTGAGCATTAATTTTGTTTTAAATAAGGTGGTTAGAGGAAAGCCCATTTATTAATTTTTCTAAAGGAAAATGCATCCTAGGAGTTTAAAAAAAGTTACTTCTTAACACAGTCCCAGTATCAGTTGTCTTCTGAAACTGTCTTGCTTTCAGTCTAGCTGTCTTCTCTTAAATCCTGAGAGGAAAGAGCAGCTTCACTTGTCTGCTGTTTAAGACGGATCGTATTTCATTGCATGCTTTGGCTGGTCTGAGGCCTTTGTGCGTGTTTTTCCATTTAATTCATTCTGTAAATCACTCAAGCTTTACAGGATTCACTGTGGAACGTGCAACGGGCTGAACTTTTCCAGTGTCTTTGGAGGCCTGTGACATATAATTACCACTGTGCTAATCCGTCATGTCACTGATAACAAATACTTATCTTGGATGGCTCATGTTCTAAACCGCTTCTCTAAAACTGGGAAAAAACACCATTGTTGGATTATCAGAGATTTACAAGGTAACACAAACCAAGTTCCAGGAGAACAGCTCTACCTGTGAGTTAAAATTGAACAATAAGTACTAAATTAATGGGACATTGTCAAGATGAAGAAATTGTCAATAAATTAAAAAACGTACCTTCAACTGAAAAGATTTGTTAAATCTTTACTCTTTATCAGCAATATCTGCTCCTTGCATTGTCTTTTGCGTTTGTAGTTCTTTCCTCGTTGGTTTTACTTTGCAGATATAACCTCAGCCGCGTTGTGACCGTAAGATACGTATGTATTGAGGAATCTAATTTGCCTGTTACGCATGTGGTCTTGTTTTCATGTTCTCTGTTTCAAGGCTGCTGCGTTTGAGCGCCCAGCAACGCAGACAGATTGCTTCCTTTGTTTTGATTGGAAGGAACATATGCCGTGCCCTCTTGGCCTTGGTGATTTTCCTCCAATTGGGATTTTTGCCATGATGCCTGCTTGTGTGGCATTGCAGTGCTGCTGGGACACAGCCATCCTCGGTGTCATTAGACTCGCTTTGATCTCCCTGCCCCATGGAAGAAGGTGGGGGAAGGGTAGAAAGAGGTTTTTTTCTTGGCGCTTAGGCAGGCTGCGTAGGGACAAGGCACATTGCTATCAAGAACTTCTGTGCGTTTTCCCCTTTTTTTCCCATCCTGGCGGACTCAGAGAAGTTCAGGGCATTCTTAAAACCCCTTGCGCTTTTCCTAGCGCTCACACATATGCACACATGTCCACCTGCTCTTGCAGTTCAGCATCCAAGGAATTTAAACAGAGTTCTGCGTGATTCAGGATCTGCTTAATTACTGTGCTAAAGTTCTCATATGTGAGTGAGCTGTCAGCAGTGGTGCATCTGACCTTCCCCTGTCTTCAGCTGGATCTAGTTATACCAAGAATGAAGAAAGAGTTTCTTTCCACGTTCACAAGGAAGAAGTCTTTCATTGAAATTCAGTCTTGATCTGTTTTTTGCTTACTAGGGTTTTTCTTTTTCCTTTGCAGTCTGTTGTTGCCTGGGTAATTTATTGAGAATTGTGCAAAATTGTTCATCCTCTGCTGCTTTGGCGAAAACGAAGAAACGGCTCAAGGCTCTGTCTGACTTGTGTTTGCCTCAGATCTTTGCTTGCCCTGCCACAGATGGAGACTCACTTTTCTCTGCTGAGTGCGAGATGTGCTTCTACAGCTATGTCGCTGTCTAGCAGTATTACACACAGATAGTTTTAGCCCTCTTATTACTATGTGGTGGGCTGTTTCCAAGTTATTCATATCTTGATGTCCATTTCAGCCAAGAAAAAGCTCACGTCACTTCCCTTTCCAGCTCCTGGGCAAGTATGAAATACTATTTGTAGTCCCCTGCCTCTTACAAAAGACAGGTAGTAAGAAGTATTTTCTAAAGTGTTTCTAGGAAAGATGATATAATGGAAGGAACTGTGAATGAAAATCGATGCTGAAGCCGTACTGTCAGAATTATATGGCAAGTGAAGTTACATCGCCGAAGAATTGCAGGTAGGAAAACTTAAGCTGTGATAGTTCCGTGATCTTAGTTTCTGCAAGTAAGACATATGAAGCACTGATTTGGGAGTTTACAGATCAAGCTACTATGAAGATAAGAAATCTGAAGAATTTCGCTTCACCTTTCAGCACAAAAAACAAATGCTTTGTAAACAAAGCTAGCACTCCCAGCTGGATGGAATGCAAAGGCTGGTCTCAGTGTCTGGTATGCTTTTGTTCTGGGTAGCCTGCATCATGATGTAAAATGCTCTACACTTTTCATAAACACCTCAGAAACACTTAAGATAAGGCTGGGCTTTGCTGGTAAGCGCCTCGTCCTTACTTCCTTTCTGCATGTTACAGCCAAGGCTCCTTCTGACTTGTTCACCCTTTCCCGGCTTGGCACAAACTGTTAAGATCCGTTACCGTTTCCCCAGCAGTCTTTTGCTTTTCTATACTTGGGTTTTACAACAGCCTCCCCTAAGAACGGCTAAAACATGCGTACCGGGGAGGGGGAAGTGTTCTCCAAATGTGATTCAGGGTTTCTGACATACATAGTGAAGTAACTCTGAGGGGATATGATCACAGACTTCAGGTTTGTATCTTCTATGAGGAGTTGTGTTTTGGGATTCGTAACAAATTCAGTCGCTATTCCCCTGGCTGAAGGAGCTCCCCTGTCCGTTATGGGAACAACCCGTACATGTCAGAAAAGATGAAAAAACTTGGTAATGGCTTTAAAGGTGCCTTTCGTGGTTACTACTGAATCCCTCAGTGGGCACCTCTATAAAGGAGACAAGCTACCCATGTTGTTGGGTTTGTTTTATAGGTCTGATGTGCAGACTGAGCTCTTAAATGTAAGTGAAAAGAGAACAAACCGATGCAGCCTTCTACTGTTGCGAGTAGAAAACCGGTTCTCTCCTGTTGCTGAGTGTTGAGGTTTGGATGAGGTTTCAGCAGAATGGAAGTTTTATCTAATTCCTTTAAGTTTTGCCAAACTGAAACTCAAATACTGCAGGAAATGGTGGGGTTTTGAGCGCATCATCTCTGGCTCTGGCATTCTGTTTACATGACGGTTACTAGCTAGATTGTAACTTCTTTCTTACGAGATGCTATTCAAAGTCAGAACGTGGACCTGAATGCCCGAGACACCACATTCTCCATAATGAGACTAAATACAGAAAAAATGTTTTATTCCTCTTTCCACAACGGAGAGTTATTAACTGCTCTCAGTCACAGAAAATATCAGTAGTAGAGCCAGGAAATGATTTCAGTGTTCTTTCCTTCAAGTCAACCCTTCAACCAAAAAAATCCCACTCTTCTCCTTAAGGAAGAAAAAGAAAAAAAAAAAGGGGGAGGGAGGAAATAAGTGTCTTGCATTTTCTTCATGGCCAAATGTTTCCAGAGCCCATTGTAAAAGTTCCAGTTTTTTAACTCTCAGAATATTTTTCACCCGGATCATTTTTCCTGTCTCAGTTTTTCTACTTCCTGCTTTTCAGAATGTTGTATTGCTGTGGTGTATCAATAGTTGTAGGTCCTATGATATCTCTGCTCTATGTTTCAAGACTGTGTGGACCAAATTCTGCTCCATGACCTGCATTTCAACTTCACTGAAGTTATTTTGAAGGCAGAGCTGGATGTCGTGTATTTATTAGCTCCTGAGCTAATTAGAACAAAGTATGCTGCTTTTTATCTCCGCCTCCTTATGAAATACAGCAAAAGAGAGGTCAAGGTGATAGAGGAACCCTGCTGGAAAAGCACGTGTGTTATATGAATCATCCTGTTGGCTGTGCTTTATTTATCTCCCTCACACTTTGATATCAGCCCTTTTCATCACATGGGCAATATGTTCTGTGTCTCACTTACTTGTGAGTGAAATCCTCTTTGAATGTGCATCACACAGCACATCTCTTACCTGGTATAGCTTGATGTCTCGCTGAAGCATATCTGAACTGTCTCTGTCAAGTGATTTCCATAAATAGACAGCAAACAAATGAACCAGTACTTTTCAGGACCTGAATTTTGTTGTTATATTATATTGTTATGAATCTGTATCTATGAATGATCTGATTTTTTTTTTCTTCCCTCTTGATTCAGGCACCATGAGGCTCTCTATCTTAAATTTAGTTCTGGTTCAAAAAAGACATGAGCAGTTCTGGGGGTAGTTTGCTGTGCTAAGACCTAGGGAATTGCGGACCTTGAAGAGATCTCATTCCTTTTGGGAGTTAGCAATTAGAATTTCTGGACTACAGACCTTTTGTAAAAACTTCATATTTTACAGAGACAGTAACATATAATGTGCACGTGTGAAAGAAGATGGAGAAACCCATTCTGTGATTCACACCTGTTTCAGTTCTTACTGCACTAGTAGTCTAAATTTTAGTGATGCGTAAAACTAGAGGTTTTTCCCCAAACACTGCATCACCTCAAACTTTGATGATGGGAGATACTACCTAACTCTGCTTTGGGTTTTGAGGGTTATGTGAAGTTAAAACCAATGATTGTTGGTCAGCTTGGGTAAGACCTCTGCAAGTTCCAGTCTCACCCTGAATTGGGCCTATTTGATTAATAAGAGATCTAGATTCAAGCCAGCTCCTCTCTTTGTTGTTTTACAGTGCCAGAACTGATGTCAAGTGGCTTTGCAGAAGCAAACTAGTCTTTCTCGCTTTCCTTTTGGAGTATTACTTTGGAGGCCACAGGGCTACAAATGTTTGGTGAGTGGCAGCGTTTGCAAAGTATCCATTACTACTTGCCTTCTGGCTGAGGAAAGTTCATTACAGTAGCCAAAATGGCTTCTGAGTTTTGGTACAAACAGAACGTATTTCAACGCCAGTGGGCTTTAAAATATTTTGGATTTGTTCCAATCTGTTTTTGCAATTAAGACATAGTGACCTTTGCACCATATGAAGGCCCAGGAAATGTTGCAGAAGTGCCCTGTCTGCTCCTTATTAATACTTTGTTTCTTGAACTTTACTAGCCTTGTGAAGAGTCTGGAAGGCAGAGTCTTTCTCTGTCAGGAGGCTTTGTCGTTGCATGGCATGCCAGTGGTTGTGTTGCATCTCGCCTGCCCAGCATCTCTTCTCCTGGAACCTGGTTTTGTTCACCTTGTGCTCTTATGCTGTGGCACGTGTGTTTATTTTTTTCTTCTCTCCTCTCCTCCCAATTCATTGGGCTGGAAGGAGTTCAATCCCTGGTTGAACAGCTGCACAGAGTGACTAATGTGACTTTTCAGGCATGGAGACTCCTCCCTCTTTCCCATTTTGATGCAAATGTCTTTTGGCATCTCGAAAAGCAGATTAGTGCAGGTCATGTAGGCCGGGAGGCTCTGTTCACTGTCCCTCTCTATCTTTGCAACAGAGTTTGGCTTTCTCTTATTGTTTACTTTCTGAATCCCTTAGTCCTGTGCTGGTTTGAATGCCTCCATTGTCCAGACATGCTGCCAGCAGCAGTGAGTCTTTGGCTCTAAATGAAGTGTTTTAGGTCCCCAGGAATCCAGCTAATAACTTAATAGCTTCTAGTCTCGACTGAGCTCACTCTGAAAAGTGCTTTGTTGTGAGTTGCAGAGCACGCAGATGGCGGCATGCTACTTATCTCGAGGCTGTCACGTTACTAGTTGTTCTCAAAATCGTGCACCTTCACAGACTGGTGTTCGCCAAGGACTGCGGTTTTAAAGAGCCTTTTTCCAAATAGGATTAGATACAACGGAGAGAAAAGCAAGCATCTGCACTTACAATGATGGCTCAGAGGCATTAAAGCTTTTCTCAGGCACACGCACATGCTCTGTCAACGCAAGCACAGTAGCCTGTGGAAGTTATCTTCACAAATTGATCTCCCTTATCTCCTAATTCTGGAGAGGAGTGGAAGCAGTGCGCAATTTCTTTTTCATTTGATCTTTATGCTCCCTGAATGCGACTGCCTCATTAGTGCTCACGATCAGTAACTCCTGTAGTGGAATAAAGAAAAAAAAAAAGCACGTTTGTGGTTAAAATTAGACACAAAACTAGCTTGCGGTAAAGGCTGTAAAACCTAGGTTCTTTAACAGGCTGACAAGAATTGCTACTACCAAAAGGCAGCGGAGAGAGAAGGGGAGTATAACTCGCCTCCTAACTCATCAGAGACATTATCTTCTGGTCTTTTCACATACTGCATCGCCAAAAGAGCTCTTGGGTGGTCATTGCCCCCTCTCCGCCCACCCGCTAACTTGGATGACTGAACAGCCCACATCATTGACTGGTCTAAGATTTCCCTTGGTAAGGTGTTTTTATTCTACAGGCCCCGAGATGCTGATTGATGAGTAATTCCTTTATTTTTTTCTTTAATACTAAGTAAACGTGAAGCTGGAAAACACAGGGCTGTTTTTTTCACCTTCTCCCAAAATTTAGAGGAAGGGTTTAGCAGAGCTCCAGCTCTGCTTGCATCTTTGATTGGTAATCCCATTGGGCAGGCTTTAAAACGTGGAGCCGCTCAGAGAACAGGTGAAGATAGATGCCATCAAGTGTGAAATTTTAGCTTGGGTCATACCTGTCACAGTGTTATTGGGAAAACCCAGATGTGATTTACCTGGGTAGGGTAGGGGAAAAGGAGCTTTCGACTGCAGTTACATGGCTCTCCTGTCACACAAGGACACCGTCACCACACGTGACCTTTCTTCAGGGTTTTATTTTACCTTCTAACCCTCACATTGATTGGGGCTGCATCTGGCCGTGACAACTTGAAAACAGCTCCATGTCAGAGTCTTGCTCTCATGTAGCTACTGTCAGGATTGTGCCCAAACTCGTCAATGAATGTTAAGCTACATCCTCAAAAGCTTTTCTGAAAGTTTGAGTTCCCAAAACCTCTGCCAAGGTTCTTGCACACTTCCTCGCTCTTAACCTCAATCCTCTTATACGTAATTTAACAAAAAGCACCAAGAGGCAAAAGACGTGCCTAGCAATTGCAATAGACAGTCAGTGATCAGAGCCCTTTCCTGAGAAATCCGCATAGGTTAAAAGATGATACAGTCTTCACTGCTATGTGCAAGCAACCCAGGGCATGAGACTGATTTTTCTCGTGTGGTGCTGTGGTAACATCTCTTGAGTTTAGAATGTCTCTTATGTTACACCTTCTGACAATCATGCCATCTCTCTTCTCTTGTGTGTGTGCGTGTGTTTCCTCAGGAAAGGATGCCACAGACACCTCCCTTTGCAGCTATGTTTGACAGCAGTGGATACAACAGGAACTTGTATCAGTCAAAAGAGGACAACTGCGGAGGACTCTCTTACCATGACAACAACCTCCTGTCGGGGTCTCTGGAAGCTCTGATTCAGCACTTAGTACCCAACGTAGATTACTATCCTGACGTAAGTCTATACGCCTCGCAAACTAGATGGCTAGGCCTGATGCACCTCATAAAGGGAAATGCTCAGATGTGCAGCTAAAACGGAGTGCGTCACATCAAATTGCTAGGAAAGGGGTTCAAGTGACTGATCGGCAGCGATGCAGTATAAACAGATGGGCTCCATGTGAGTTCAGCCTGCAGTACTCAACTGACTTAAGCAGTCTAATCCTTTATTACTGCTGCTGTTATGTGCACAGCCTTGGTGATTCATTTACAGAGTAAGTACCTAGCGTGGCTCACTGTGTGATGCATTGCACCACTGACCATTAAAAATCTGTCAAGAATGGAAGGGCCTCGGAAGGCAGGCTGAGGAGAAAGCACCGCCAGCATAACTTGGTGGGTGTATTTAGTTTAAAGATAACTGCGTTTTAATACATGTTTTCTCCCAGTTGCATCTCAGGTCCACGTATATCTTGCCGTTAGCAACTGAAATGTTGAATTGGCACCACGGAGCTGGGAATCAGCAGAATCTCGGCCGGAAGCTGGGCACGAGAATGGGGCGTTTGTCATCTGGGAATTCTTGGCCTGCCTAGAGGCATTTGCATATTGAGATGTTTTATGTTTTTATCAGAAAAGAAGAATGATACCAAGGAGCCTGGGGAAAGGGGTTGATTGAGGGTTGATGAAACTACACCACTATCTGTTGAAAGGCTTCAGCTGAAGAAATAACTCTGCTTATGTGCAGCTTCTGTTCTTGTCTTAAATCAATTCACAATTCCAAGGCAGGATCATTTTTCATTCGTATCAGACTTAACAGCACCCCAGGACTGTTCTTAAGCTATTTATTATCTGTTAGTGCTTACACAAAAAATTCAAATTTGTCGCTGCTTATACACTGATTGGTCAAACATGACGATTTATTTCAAGTTGTTGGAACTGTAATGTTGTAGACTCTTTTTTTGGGGGTGCCACAGATACTTGATTACTAGCAATCAAGTGGGGAGTGGAGCAGATGGGTTTTTTGAATAGCCATCTGACAATGAGTTAAAATCTTAATTCATGGAAGCTTATTGCAGATTAAGGAGCCTCTTCTCGTACCTCTAGAATTAGTTACTAATTGTTATTCTCTAAATTTAAACTCCGTGCATTTCCCTCCCCTTTCCCCCAGGAGACAGGCAATATACTATGAGAGATGAACAGCATTTGGGGCTTCTCAAAGGAAGTAAGAGATCACAGTGTGTGGTTTACTGAAGTCAGACGGGCAAATACAGCACAGAGAAGGTGGAGTGCATGATGAAGTCAAGACAGTCCAACAACCTGGCAAACTGGGATTGGGCCATCTTTTTTTCTTTTGTCTTCGGAAGCCTGTTTACTTTAACTAGAAATGTGGAAGCAGACAAGTTTCTGTATTGATATTATAATTAGCTTGGGCTTGTAGCATGAATTATATTCCATTGTTGGGCTAGGAAGAGTTATGTAATCTGGTAATTGCTCTTGCAAAACGGTTTACTACAGAGCGAGGGAGGATGAGTTGAAATTGTATTCTGAGTAATTTCAGGTACTGAGCTTGTTGGAACACTGTGTGCAAAAGGAGAACTGAACCTGCCCTGCCCTGCCCTGCCTTGTTTTGGTTTAATCTTGCATAACTTGGCTCAAGCACGAATATGTAGCGCTGATTCTGGAGCTATGACAAGTGTTACAATTAAATGCTCACTGCTGTAATATTAGCACTTTGCACAGCCAAATGAACAGTTTTGTTCTGTGGATTATAAAGTATTAGGAGCTGATTTGTCAGAAATACGTCTTGAGAGAATATGAAACTGGTAGGGATTTATCCCTTTCTCTGTCTTGTTCTTGTTTGCAGAGGACGTATATCTTCACCTTCCTTCTCAGTTCACGCCTGTTCATGCATCCTTCCGAGCTGATGGCCAAAGTTTGCCATCTGTGCATTGAGCAGCAGAGACTAAGCGAACCTGGCCTGGACAAGGTAAGATCTTTCACTCTGAGGGACTCCTCCTCTTCCATTCAAATGTCTCTACCCTGCCCAGAGAAAAATATTTCTACTCAAGAAAGTCCTCAGCAGCATTAAACAGATTGAAAACCTGATATGAGCAACTGGAATTTGACCCTTCCGTCACTGACATCTGCGGGACATTTCCACGACGCTCAGCCTATCCTCCTGCATGATGGCTGTTGCTACTGCGTACAGTTTGTTTTACCAAAGTCCTAAGAGTAGGGCCAATAACAAAAGTGTTTTCTATTAACAGCATATCCTACCTTCACCCTGCAGTGGTTGCTTGTGTTTTAGGGTATCCAAATGTCTTGATGCATAAGGCCAAATGCTGGAAAGACCTGAGCCTGACTTAAGCAGATGAATATGAATTACGCTGACTTACCTTGTAGGCTGAGATAAGTCAGCTTCAGTCTTTGCAGAGTGGCTTAGACAGCTGGAAGCTTTGCATGAAAGGGCCTTTTTTACCTCGTTCGTGTAACGTTTAGAATAAAAGGGAGCAAGATGTGGACGTTTAGATACATCTTCCACCCCAGGAGAAAAAAAACGTAAATAAAATTAAGATAGGTGACTAATTCCGCTCATTTTTCGCTGTAGTGAGACGATATCGACAGAACTGAAGTGTATCGCTTTTGTGGTTGGTAGTTAGCCATAGATTATGGAAATACTCGGATATCTTGCGTTGTGATGCTCCGGATAACAAAGGGCAAAACATGCGTATAATTCTAAGATTGTCAAATTACCTGGGGCCTGATTTCTAGCCCCGTTAAGCCAATGATAGTCCTTTCGTTGGCTTCAGTGGGTATTGACTGTGGCCTGTAATCCAGTGCAGAATTAAACTGAGTTTAAAAGTTTAACTGACCTTCATACCCTTATGCTCCACAGTATCCTACAGGAGGGAATTAGATTTCCTTTGGGTTAAATATATGCTGCGTTGCTGCTCCGTGTAACGTTCCTCCTTCCTATTTTTTAAATAGAACCGGATACGAAAAATTGCACCTAAAATCCTACAACTGTTGACTGAATGGACAGAGACATTTCCTTACGATTTCCGAGACGAAAGAATGATGAGGAATTTAAAGGAGTTGGCACAACGAATAGCCATTGGTGATGAGGTCAGTTGTCTGTGCACAGTGTTACTGGATAAAAAGCCATTACTGTAATGCTTTGATAGTGCAGGCTTGTTGTTGTTCATAGTGTGGTACAGCTCTGGGGGATTAAGCTAGCTTACTAAGAAGGTGCTTGTAGCAAAAATTTCTGTCCAGTACTTAGACTTAGGAAAAAGACATATAGCATAAACAGGTCCTCTTGAAAGCACAGGGTTTACCCTGTCTCTAAACCCATAAAATAATTGCATGTTGTGCAGACAAATGCCACTTTGTAGATGCTTATGTTTTTCAGTGTAGTGATTTTTTGTTTAGAAGAAGCTGGATATGACAGTGGAAAGCATTGCATATCTGAGAAATGCTTATCTGTATTGATAACTGCTTTGATTTGTGTCAGCAAGGTTTGTTAAAATCAGGCCTCTTATCTGTATAGTCTATGGAAGAGTCATAGCAGGTTTGAGAAAAACATTTCTAAAGGAAGACTGGACCAGGAAGAATTATCTTGAGCTTAAAGCACTCATAGTGAGCTCAGAGGATGTCTGTTGTGTTCTTCCTCTGAAGGGAGCACATAAAGAATGGCTTAATCTTTCCAAGTCCCAGTTCTCAAATAGAAATCACGTTTCATGGAGGTCTTAAGAAATATTCTGATGCCTAATTGTTGCCTACCTTATGTAAGTACTGAGAATTCAACCAAAAACCAAGGCTTATATTAACATGGTGAACAGGCAACTGAAAGATTTCAACAAGCAGATCATGTGTAGCTAGCATACTCAGATTACAGAAGATGCTGGAGTGACTTTTGGAAGAACTATCAATGCAAAGAGCAATTGCTAAATGGCTTAATGTTAGCTAGTGTTCCTGAGAGGTTGATGTTCCTTATATAAGCCTTTGAATAATGATGTAGGTGAGGCAGCAAACAGCACGTGAACAAGTTTTAATAGGTAAGCTTAGCGGGGAGGAGTCGAGAATGCTGCTGGGGCATGAAAAGACCTTAAGAGACTGTAAACAAGGGTGGAAGAGAACAAACCTAAATTGAATTTGGAAGCTGAAATACATTTCTAGGAAAGGGGGGGAGGAACAGAAGAAGAGGGGAGAAGGGAGTGAGATGTGGCACGGGATATAAACCAAAACAATACCAAATTTAATGGGCAAACTTGGAATTGCTGAAGGAGAGCTACAGGGAGCTCTCTTGACTGTGGGCACCCCTTTACAGACAAAAAGTTTGCCTTCACAATGGGGGTGCCAGGATGCACCTTTCCTTTGCCCTGCTCTCACAATGCTGCTTTGTTACTGGGCTCTCTTTTAATAGGAAGATAAGGAACTAAAGTTCAGTTTATGGAGAACTGAGGACTCGCATCCACTTGAAAAATACCCACTGGCACAAGAAAAGAGCAGGGGAATTGTTAAGAGCGGGAAAAAGTTGGGCTGATGGAAGAAAAAGTAGGGTGAAATGACAGCCAGGAAAGATCGTCTACAGTGACGTTTCTGACAATACAGCCTAAACAGTGAATCTATCATCTATTGAGGGGAAAGGTAGAAGATAGACAAACTAGTGGAAAATGAGCTGCAGGGGGCCGCTTCACTCTAGCAGGGAATTACAGATCTTTCCGAGCTGTAGCTCCCATGCTAGACCTCCAAGTGACTTTGAAGTTTCCTTTAGGAAAACAAAGGGAAAGCAAGTGCCACAGTAAAATTATTTGTGTTACTGGCTGGTGAACCGCTAGAACAGCAAATGGCAACTTCCTTGACCTCACTTTTCTGCAGATTGCTTGGATTTATTTGTGTGAGTCATTGCCTTGAAGGATACAAAAGCACAAATTTTCCTATTCTTACTCACTGTGGCCCTTTTATTTGTAGCTTCTATTGCGCTTTCAGAGTGATTGTGCTCCACTGCTGTTAAGAGCTATCAGTCAGAGTCCAGTAAAGAGCGTTCATCAATTTAGCAGATAAACCCATCAAAACCTGGTCTTTGGGATGTTGAGCCTTTGAGCCTTGATTTCTAACCCCCTCGCCCAAATCTCTCATTTTCATTCCGTTCCTTATACTTCTTCCCTCCCTGTTTCCCCAGAGGTTATGCTCATGAGATATTTCTAGATTGTTCTGGTCCCTTCTATCACTTAACTGACCTGTATTTCAAGGTATGTCTTTTGAATCTTTACATGTTGTCCATTGCCTCCCGTTTTCTGATTAGTTCCCTGTAAGTATTTGCCAGTCTCCTCTTCTGTGAAACAGTTGATCAGTGTATGCAGAGTCACACAAAAGCCATGCTCTGTGTCATGATGTCTTTTCATATGCATCCCAACATTACACTGATCTCTCTCTGTCTCTCTCTCTCTTTTTTTTTTTTTTTTGGCTGTCATATCCTGTAGTGGGATTGATTGTGGAAACTCATTAAAATATGCTGTTCAGTATCTAGTAGGTAGTAATGACTTCCAGTCACTGTCCATACAGCACAGACACAAAGGGGTGACCGTCAACTAAAAAGTGTCCTGTTAATTTCTCCCATGCTGTCCAATCCTCAGAGGTTTCTTCTACAAAACTGCCTAGGTATGGTAGAGAAATAGAGAGGCATACTTAAAGTGCCTGTTAAATTTTTTTTTAAAAAGAGAGAATAGCAGATCTGAGAAAGATCTAAGGGTAATATGTAGATCTTGTTTTTACAGTCCAGGGTGCTGCACAGGTAGAGGACCTAATAGACAACCAGGTCAAAAGGCATTCTAATAAACTGAAAAACAAACTTGTGTAAATATCAGGAAAGAGGTGTGTGCAGTTTTCCAGAGTTCAAGTAAGTGGAGTTTTGAGAACAGGGTGCTGCAGTCTAAGAGTCTGAGATGCCTTTGATTCTGTATGATCATGCTATTTATATAAAACTAAAGGGGTGCGTATGTGTGATGTGAATACAGAATCAGAAATGAGTCTGGTGATGAATAACTGAGAAAGGGTAAGCCTAATCTACAGGGAGACCATCTGTTTAGACTCACTGATGGCCTTATTACAATCAAATTAATATGTAATTGATAAAAGACATATTCTCCGAGTTCATTGGTGTGTTATTAAAAAAAAAAAATATATATATATATATATATGAGAGACATCATAAAAGTGCATAAGATAATATAAGTAATGGTCCACCAATAAATATCTTATTATGGGAACAAAGCAGAGTAAGTAGTTATCCTCACACAGAATGCTTTGATATCAGTGCCTGTTTGCTCAAGAAGTGACCAAGTCTCCAAAGAACAGAGGGATGGTGCTTTTGTGGACTCAGGTACATCTGTGATGTGTGACAGGAAACTTGCATTTCATTCTGGCTTTGTGCTAAGAGATCTTGCCTCATCCGTGAATACAGAGATATTTGTTATGTTGAACTGCTCCTATTTAACATGGGAGCTAATTTCCCTGATTTCCCTATTTTGATTTGGGAACATCTGTGCTAACTTTCGTTTTCTCTGGGGGTTTGCAGCTACAGGAGCAGAATGGCCAGTGTTAGTTGGTTCAGCTTGGTATCTGCACTCCTTTTCTCCTCAGTTTTGTTTTCAGTTCTGAGTTGACATGAACCACAAATTCAGGCAAGGGCTTTTTGCTTTGAAGATTAATCCATTGATTGTTACACGGTTTCTGTGATTAGCCAGAACTCCCCTCAAGTACGTTAGATGCTTTGTCGATCTCGGCTGAGTACGAGCTAGGCAAGAAAACGCTTCATAAAGTTCTGTTGCATGAAATTTCGAATAATTTAGAAGGGAACGTGTCAACAGAGCATGTTTTTGTTTGTATCACCGTATACCTGTGTATGAATCTGCAGATATACTAGATATGAACTTTAAGTAATACTTCTGTGTCTTCCTGAGGAAAATGTCGATCCTTATCTTTGAAAGCCTGAGATCCTCTCCCAGGCACTCTCACTTTCTCGGGTATCTCCCTCCTCCTAAAAAAATTTTGTTGTCTGTGTTTGTCTGCAAAATCAAAATTCTTCTAAGCAGAAAGCGATTATTTACTAAGCAACAAGCCGAATTCAGCTTTCGTTGAAGACCACTGACTTCAAGAATGAATTTGACCCAAAGGAGTGCTGTTGGGTTTGGGTAAATTTGGAAATCCATGTAAATGGCAGCTGCGGAGTGAATGACAAATTCATTAGAAAACAGGAAGCATGCATCCCTTGGACTGATAACCCTATATTGTATGCTGATAGGTTTTGGATGGTCAGCTTTTCAACTGTTGAGGTTTTTCATTAATGGCTCCAGGATGGTATTTGCAAAAGTAACTCCCTTCAGGTCTGTTAAGTATATAGGGTAGACAGAGATCCGCCTGCTTAAGAGTACAGTCCTGCTCTTACTGAAATCTCATTCCTGTTAATTTAAATGGCCACGCAGAAAGGCCTTGCAGGGTGAAGGAAAGTGAGATGGCTTTATTCTCTTCTCCTTTATCTCAAATTTACTGTAAAGTGTAATACAACAGACTTAAGTGAAACTAATCTTGATTGACTCTAGAGAGAAGTAGGTCCTATTTTCACCGTTGAATGACCATGTCTTATTCTTTCTTGCTGTCTTAAGCAGTAGGAGACAGAGTACTTCATTTCTCATATGGTAGATCTTAAGTGTTTGCTAGTTGTAACTTGGGCTAATCAGGACACTGTTGAAGCCCTGAGGCGATCAGTGTTTAAATGCTCATTTGGATTCCTTTTGATTTCATTAAATGTCAGTATTAAAAACTCACGTCGTAGAGGGTATCTCACCTTCATATCTTACACTACGTGTGGCTCACATAGTAGAGTGTTGACAACAAATGTTTATCTAGATCAGTCTATTTCAGTGTCATTCAGACTTTAATACTATCCTCTCACGTTTTGGGAATGTCTTCTGATTGCTTCATGTCATGACAGATGTATCGGAAGAATGTACAGCAACTCCTCCAGAACCTGATTCGGAAGCTTGCCACTGTTAGCCAGTATGAAGAAGTACTGGCAAAAATCAATGCAACATCTACAGATCGACTCACGGTCCTAAAGACCAAGCCCCAGTCCATACAGAGGGACATAATCACAGTCTGCAATGATCCCTACACATTAGCTCAGCAGCTAACGCACATAGAGCTTGTGAGTTTTTATTTTTCAAATACCATTTCGTCCTTCTCCTCTTCTTGAAATGTAGACTAGCGTAGAATGTGACTTGATTGCTTGTGTCCTTTATTTAGGAGAGACTCAATTATATTGGACCAGAAGAATTTGTCCAGGCATTTGTACAAAAGGATCCTTTGGATAATGACAAGGTAATTGGAGCGGAAGCTGGAGCAGCTCTGAAATGTAGCATTTAGCATCCTAGAGCTTAGGTGACCTGTGAGCAGGGAATTCCAACAATAAATGAGGATCAGTAGAAATGAGTTTGAAAGTAAAGTGCTCTAATACTTCTTAAAAACCTTGGGCTTTTTGTGATGCTTCTTCTTACTGGAGGACAACTCCAGAAGCTCCAAAGCTTAGCATGTGTTCTGAGCTTGCAGCGGCATCGAATTGACTTAGTCAATTTGACAAGGCGTCTGTTATTTTTCCTGATTTAAACTACAGGAGAACCTAATCCTGGGAATGATTTCTCCTGGCCACTTATGTGGTCTGTAGCTTCAAAAAGCAAGTTATAAGTTTGGCTTTTGCATCACTCATTTTCAACATCTATTCTTTCTTTTAGTCTTTACAAGCAAACTGAGTGGGGCAATTTGCAGGTAGAGCACACATTACAAAAACTGGGCAGTGAACTCCAGCTCAGTGAGATGAAGGGCAAAGATGCAATGTTTTTAAGTAACTGTTGGAGCTGTTACCTCTTTGAGTGGGTTGTATTCAAGATGACTCACGCTCTTTAAATTAACTGTGCCAAAATCAGGCAGTGAACACTGGAATTACTATCCGCCCTAAAACTGGCAAACAGAATAGAATGACTCACGTTTATAATTTGTAGTTCAGTCAGATGGGATCTCGAAATGGTTTTATATGTAGAGACTGCTAAAACTTCTGTGTGCCTTTTTTCAGGCAACCCTGAGATGTAGTATAGGAATCATTCCAAGGCACTAAAACATAGGGCAGGAAAAGGAGCTGCTAATCAAAACTGTTGATCTGATGTACCAAAGTTAGGATGCAATATCTGAATTTGGTATAAGCAACTGAATTTTAATGTGCCAAAGGAGTGGACAGGCCTGGGTTGCACTTTTGCACCTGCAGAGGGTATAACGTTGTTGCTAGTACTGGGCAGGGCAGAAGTCAGGACTAAAACAATGCTCGTGTTCAAGGAAGCACTTAAGCAGGTACTTAGCTATGATTATTTGCATTAGTCTATCCCTGTTCCTCAAAGCATCCCAGCAGGGCTTGCAGTGGTTGCTGGATTCTGCATGCCTGCTTGAGTGCTTTACTGAGCTGGCATCTCAGGAGGAAGTGATGCATGCCCAGATGCTGTCACTCTTGCTTTCCTTCTCACCTTTTTGTCACTTGGGGTAGTTGAGTTAACCCTGATTAACAGTGTTAACGGTGTCTGGGGATGGCAAGGTAAAGGCCAAGGATGTCTCTCAGGGAGAGACAAAATGAAGATTACATTGATAATTGCAATTTTTCATATGCCTGCAGACCTGCTACGGAGATCAAAAGAAGACCCGTAATCTAGAAGCCTATGTAGAATGGTTTAACAGGCTCAGTTACTTGGTTGCAACAGAAATCTGTATGGTGAGCAAAGACTTTTTCTGCTAAAACTTTTTGTTTTGTCTAGTTGTCAAAGCTGTGGAACCTCTTCAGCTTTGCTGCCCCCTTCACTGTGCACTTTTTCCTTTTCATTCTCAGCAAAAAAACTCTTTCCTGTGTGGATGTAATGGGCACAGGGCTGAAGAGGAAATATGTTCCCTGTTTTCAGTATCATATTCATGCCTCAGCCCTGTTCGTGTGATGAGGTGGCGATCATCTGCTGCGTAGCCCCTCCCTGGCATAAGAATGCATCTGTCTGGCCCTTCCTAATCTCCCGTTGTCCACCCTGAATGGAGGCATCTCTCCTTGTTTGTTGACTACTTTCTCTGCTCTTCCTTTCCTCCTGCCCTTCTTTGCAGAGCATCTTTACCTCTCATTCTTGCCCTCTACTTGCCTCTAGCTTGTCTTTTCTGTCCTAAGGGTTTTTGGACACAATTGTGTGGTTTGATCTATTTGTAAATCACAGTGTAAGGATGGGATACGTTTTGACATACGTGTTGTTTCTTTTGGGGATCTGTCAGAGCTCTGTTTCCTCCTGAAAGTGACATTACAATGGCATCTCTTGCAGCCTGTGAAGAAGAAACACAGAGCAAGAGTGATTGAATATTTCATTGACGTGGCCCGGGAATGCTTTAACATTGGCAACTTTAACTCCTTAATGGCTATTATTTGTAAGTATATGGCCTGAGAAATTTTGACCCTGTTTAAATCTGAGTAGAGGAATTGCAATGCTTTATAGAGAAGTCTGTTTACTGCTTAGTACAGTCAGCAATGTGAAGTTGGGAGAGGAAATGGTGGATTGCTAAATCTTTTAGTATTACATACGTACGAAAAGATTTTTTTGATGTAGTTTAAATTGCAGTAAAAAGTAAGTTTTTACTGTAACTCTTCAGAAATCTAAATCCCCACTTTTTAAAATAAACTTTAATCCTACATTGGAATAGAAACTTTCTCTGCAAAAGAGAAATGATGCATTCTAGTGGTTTAAAAATTCCACACCATTTTTTATATCTAATACAAAAACGCTGGGATGTATCTTCCTTTTGAAATGGGAAAGTTTCATGGGTATGTTTCGTTTTCAGTGAAATTTGTAAGAGACGATAGATACTGAGATGAATCGTTTGCGCTTTCTTACGTATAATTCATGTCTATCAAAACCACGTGAAATTGTGTCAAAGCATTTTTTTAGAGCTTTCATTCTGTAAGAAATGTTGATTTTTATGTTTCCAAAATTTCTTTTTGAAAGTGGAATTTCAAGCAAATGAAAAGTCTGACTTCTGAATAGCTCTACTGAAAATATGTGATATTTTTAACAACTCCTTGGCTTTAGAAATGCTTACAAGCCTTAGTTACTTTAAAGACTTTTAAACCTTCAATTTCTCCCTCTTAAATCAAGCTGGCATGAACATGAGTCCTGTCTCTCGATTAAAGAAAACTTGGGCAAAAGTGAAGACAGCCAAATTTGATATTCTTGAGGTAAGTTTGGCCAATTTGGCCACCAGTGTGGGCACATGGCTGTGAATAGTGTGTCACTTTTGGTTCTAAAGTACAAGTTTGGCTTCACTGAGACGTGTTTAGCTGTGTATGTATGTGTTCCTAATGGAAGTTCCAGAAGGTTTAATAAGAAGAGTCTTTCAGCTGACTTAGGTTTATTTGATTTGGGAGAAGGAAATTGAATTAATTGTTATTTTTAACGGAAGAAGAATTTTAAATAAGTGTAAGTAACCTCTTGAAAGGTAGATGTAGTTGAGAGAGATGGTATGGACTGACCTAATGCAGTTTTGCTTTTGAAAGATCCGTTAAGCTTATAAGGCAGCTGCTTTGTCTGTTCAGAGAGATTTTTCTGGAATTAAATGATTGCCAGTTACTTTCAGGTAGCTCAAATCTTTGTCAAAGATTATGTAGGTGCAGCAGTACATGAATTTGTGATTTACCTTACAGATTCTTTAGCAATAAGTTAATTATTCTGTTCTAAATGGCAGTCAGTTAATTCAGGCTATTTGTTAGTAATATAGAGAAGATCTGCTGCGTTGTTTATGATGCAAGCATGGAATGCTTATTAACGTCATAAGGAGCTTTGATTTGTGTTATGACAACTGATTAAAACTGGAGAGCTGCAGCCACCTTGCCCTTTCTGCCCCCACCCTTGGGTGGGAGATAGCTGCCTTTGTGTTAGGGCTGGCTGCAAAGCTCAGGGAGCAGGTCTTTTGATTACAGCCCCGTTCCATTTGAACTTATTATGCAGGCTGAATTTTGCTGGTTAAGGACTTGCTTCGTGAGCCATACAGTTATCCTAGCCACGGAGGTGCAGCAGTTGGTGTTGGAGCACTGAGGGGGGATAGCTGGAGGCACTAACAGCTTTAGCTGTCTAATTTTAGCCTGCCATTGCAGCTGAATCAGCTCTGAGAAATCTGCATGCATAGGAGGAGCAGAATACTAGTGCTAAGACCCATTGTATGTCTGACTTTAGGGTTTTGGCTTTCAAAAGAGATAACTTCTTTGAGGGGAGAGAAAGAAGAAGGTCCATTAAGCCTGCCTTTGCTTTCCTGTCCAGACTTGTATTGGATCCTTGGTTGTGCTGAGTGAACGTTTATTTAAGTTTCTCTTCTGATCAAAAGAACAGATGCCACTGCTCTCTGAAAGGCTGTATTTATGGCACAGTTCAGCAGACCTCCTGGTTTTTAAAATAGTTGCTCAAGTGAAAAGTGCTGTGAGTGGGTGGTGACGCTGGCTCTCTGAAGTTTGTAATTTACGTTTCTTCTTGCCTGTAGCATCAGATGGACCCTTCTAGTAATTTTTATAATTACCGAACTGCTCTGCGTGGTGCTGCTCAAAGGTCCTTGACAGCTCATAGCAACAGAGAGAAGGTATGTTTACAGATGGCACATGGGCAGAAATGAAATGCACTTAAGTTGCATGGTAAGCTTTTGTCTCAAATTTCTGATTCTCAGGAACTGTAACCGGGGGGCCTTTAAATAATAATAATCATCATCATCATAAACCTCAAAATTGAATCCCTCTTTACTCAGAACATCTAACTATTACCTGTAAACTAGCAAGAAAGTAAATAGAACATTTCAGCAAACTAGGTGGCTCAGTGAAAAGGATCCTTCATCTTAGGCTGCCAGTTGAAATCCAGTCCAATTTGGTACTGAGCGCAAACTGCAAATATTAAATGATTGCTTTGATGATTTAAATAACATAGATTGCCTCAGTTCAGTTCCTCCCTGACAGGGAATTTCATCTCCCAAAGCATCACCAAAAGCATTTGGCTTCTTTGTCAGTAATACAGATGGAAAAGCCAAGGATTGAAAAGCTGTCGCTAGAGTCATTTATCATCCTTATAGCCGCTACTTGTAAGTGGGAGCTGAGGAGCTCTGGTCGGATAGCATAGTAAATTATTTGAGTTTATGCTCTTCTGTAACTTGGTATTATGTTCAGAGGAGTTCATGACTGTCATCGCACATCCACGCTACTTTTGTGCGTATTCACTGCATAAAGTGCCCGAGTTGACTTTCTTCCCTTCAGTACCTCGTCCATTCACAGTATTAACGTGGAAGACGAGGAAGAAGAGGGAACCTGGGAGTGTACGTTCTAGTGCTTTTATGCCCAAAGGGAGGGGAGACCAGCTGGCCTAACTGTGGGTAATGAAAGTTAGTTCAGAGGTGGCTAATTCTGGGGAAGAGTGTAGCTCTTCAGTGGCTGAAGGTTATTTGTGGGCATTTCTGGCTCTGTGCATTCTTTTATGGATGATGTTACTTGCATGTGGAATTTGCAAAGGAGGGACAGATTCTTGTTGACATAGGCAGGATAAGAAGGAAAAATCTTGATAAGCATCCTAGAGAGTATACTGAATACAGGAAGAATGGCTTCAAAGAGGGACAATGGACATCTCTCATTTTTAAGTGCTTTTTTTTTAAACAGTTTGGGATGGAAAAGCTTTAAAATGTACTCAGAAAATAAATTCTAAAACTTGAATAAAGCCCAAGTTGCTAATCCTAAGTCTTCAACTGGCAGGCAGAACTGCTGTTGCTTTTTAAACTTCCTTTTCCTCCGCCTTTCAGAAGGATTGATTTTGTGAGTTTCTCTGTGGCAGAAAGACTGTGAAAAGGGCAGCAAATTACTAGACACTGACAATTTTGAATGAAGGGGTTGTCTAAAGAGAAGAGCGGAATGTAATTCTCACCTGGTCTTGGGTCTAGGATCTGCTAGTCAGAAAACTGAATCTTTCCTTAGTACCAGTCATCATCATTTACGTCACGTGTGCTACCCCGTTCACTCTGAAATGCATGATTCCGTGAATAGTCTCATCCGGAGCAACAGAATTGCTAAAACAGGTCCTGATGCTGCAGTGTGGCCCGTGTGATGCGAAAGAGGGGACCTCTTTGAAGCATCACCAACATCCCTAGTTCCTTATGCCCTACAGCAGTCGCTTCGCTAGTGTGAAGCAGCTGGCCAGAACAGCTGGCACGAATAAAACTGGAACCAACAGGAGTCTTGAAGAACAGCCAGGACTAAGGTTACTAGTGGCGGAACAAGACCTGTGCATTTTCATTTTAGACTAATGCCAGTCATGAAAGAACACAGGAAAGCATCATTCCTTATTTGTTAATATCTACAGGATTAAACCACAGGAAGAAGAGAAATCCCTTCCTGTTGGGAGGGCATTACTCTGTAAAGGTTCCCCCAATACCAGTATTTGATTCAGCCTTTGGCGAACCCCAAGCGTTTGTGGAGTGTCTAAACTGGCATTTACGCTTGCCATCTCAACCTGAGATAGGGAATACAAACTCAAACCTAGACAGAGCTTTCCAGTTCTGTAGAGTTCCCTTCTGTACAGTCTTTGCTAGATGAGCTTTAAATATAGTCTCCTGGAGTTTCTTATTGGAAAAGGTGAAGATGAATCGGATCTTAGTGTAATACAGTGTGTTAAGACTCCCCTTGCTAATTTCAAGAGTCGCTGTGAATTACACATCAACAGAGGTTTGTGAATTACACATCAACGGAGGTTGTATCTTTATTTACCTCTTCAAAATAAACCAGCTTTTGAGAAGTAATTTGGATTCGGTCACACGTTAATGCAGAATCTCAGTTGTAGTTCTTGTGGAGAGGAGCCAAATAGCTTGCTAGCTTCCATCCATTTAGAAGCAGCAGCTCATCAACTTGTAATATTTGCACTTTATGCTATGTTTAAGAAGCTGATTCTGGTGCTTATAGAACAATTTAAACTACCAGGCAGAATGAGGGTAATCTGTAGGCAAGTCTGCTTGTTTATACTGGTGCTGTGCGCATGAAAATAAAATACTGGATTTTTCTGAGTCCTAAGGATCTGTTTGCAGAAGTTTAAATATATAATGCTTAATTCTTTTTAGAGAAAAGTGAGTTTTAAAACCCCAAAGGACTTCTCTGTATTCAAATGGTGCAGTAAAGTCTTCCATAGAAATGGTGATGCACTGCATTTTGTTTTTAAACTCAGTTGCAAAAAGGATGTGCGACTATGAAAATTTTTGTAAGATGAATATTAAAAAACAATCACTTTAAGACTGTTGGAATGTTTCAGCATTCTCCAAAGACAAATGCTTCGATTTGATCAGTTTGCAGGAAATGTTTCATTTTGAGTCAGTCAATGCCAAGGTTCAATTTCTCGCATGAGCTCAGGGAATTGTAGTTCAAAAGCCATTTACTGTAGTGGCCCGCTAGTCCCACATTTTCCATGCTGTTCTTTAACGTACATCTCCCCTCATCTACGAAACAAATCTCTGTCAAGAGGGAGATGTGTGCTCTTGGAGGTACTCTACAGGAATCTTGGGCACAAGTGGGGATTAACAAAGACTTTCAGGGAGACAACAGAGCATCGCCTCTTGTTGGGTGAAAGTTCTCCTGTCTGAGTTGAATTGATCCCACATTTTCCTGTCTTCATTTTTGTATGAATAACCATTCCAACAAATATTTTCCATGATGGTCTATTTACTGAGCCCCTACTGAAATTAGGTCACAAAAATCAGAAGACTTTGTGTTTATCTGGTTCCAGTTCTCCTCTTATTTTAAGGAGGCTGATGCCTTGCCTCTTCACAGCATTGCTTTGCCTGCTGTGATTACAATGTGGTATGCTTCTGTTCCCTCAGCTTCCCGCTCTGGTCTGCCACATGCAGCCAGTGCTACCTGAACTTGGGAACCTGCAGTGCTGAGAAGCAGAACAGAGTTTGAGGCGAGGCTAGCTCTGAAGGCACGTGCATCGTGGGGAAGGGTGGAAACAAGTGCAGTTTGAAGGGAATTAATGTACTTGGAGACTCCAGGAGGAGCCCAGCAGATGACAGCACACCTTGCTGTCATCTTGCCTTTGGGCTTTATCTTTGGTCATGATTTCTGCAGCTCTCCACAGCATTTTAGCTCAGCCGTTAACATCTCTGTAGCTGCTGATAAAGCACAAGCAAGAAGTAGGCACCTCCAAGTTGTGCGCTCTGGAATCTGCAAGGAAGGGTGAGGAAAAGTCAAAACGTGTCAGGGACATGACAGAGAAATGAAACAAGTTAGGCAGATTGCCCTTGTAAGCACTCCTCATACCCATAATTGACAAGTAGTGGTGTGATAACAGAGGTTGTAACTGTGACCCTGAGAGAGTGACATTACCAAGAAGAGTTCAGGGTATGGAAGCAGTTCAGCACAAAGCTGGAAATGAAGCTATTGGGACTAGCTTGCCACGTGAGAGAGGACTTTCTTTACAGACAAACGTTATCTATTATAAAATGTAGTGAATGCCACATTTTTATTCGGGGAAAGAAAGGAGAAAGAGATCATACAGATCGTAGTCCTTCACAGTGTTTTTCGTAGCTTTTGTACCATGTGACTTCCTAGTATTTTTTCTCTGTAGAGCATTGCATTTTGATTTGGTATCAAACTGAGAATAATCTTGCTCTTTCCTTAGATCGTGATACCCTTCTTCAGCCTCTTGATCAAAGATATTTACTTCCTCAATGAGGGCTGTGCCAGTCGTCTTCCGAACGGTCATGTCAATTTTGAAGTAAGTATACCACTGTGGCACTGAGAGTTGGGTATTATACATATCCTCATCTCCTTGAAGAGAAGACTTAAGGGCAGATCATGACTGAGCTTCCACTGGATTCTGAAAGAGCAAAATTAGACCGTAATTTGAGTGTATCTGTTATTTCTCACAGGAAAATACAGTTTTGTTAAGTTGGAATGTTTATAGAAACTGTTGCAATATTGACAGTTACTTAGTGCAAAAAACTCAAACTTTTTCACAGTGCTCAATGTTTCACTTCAGATGTTGACTTAGCTAAAAAAAAAAAAAAATCACACCCATTAATATTTTGGGGCTTTTCCTTGAATTCAAAATGTAAAAGGTGAGTTCGTCCTTTGTCATAACATATAGGCGCTATTTTCGTGCATGTAAGTCACAGATTCTCTCTGAAGAAATGTGTGATACGGCATCAGAGCAGGAGTTCCGAGTGCCTTCCTCTACCTCTGATTTCCTGCTAGTTATCTGACGGTATGGATTACCCAATGATTTGTTTTCAGGTACTTTCACTTTTAAAGAAGCCTGGATCACTCGCACAAAATAACAGTAATTTTCACTTGTTGTAATCAGCCTCCGTAGCCTGTTTCTGAAGTTACTTTTTGTAACGACCTGGAATGTCCTTTTTCTCCAGAAATCCAAGTATACTTGAGGCATGTTAAATGAAATGTTTAACTGAAAGATTTTTACCTAGAAATGGTATCAACCCACTACAAGGGGAATGTTTATTTTTGGCATAAATTTCCATCAAGAAAACTGAGCATTTCAGATTAGTCAACTAAAATGGAACATCTGGATTTAGAAATGTCAGCATGAAATATCTAGAGACTTTTGAAGTGAGAATTATTAAACGTCTCAATGTGCAAAACAAATACCAGCATCGCCAAATTTAGAAGTGGGGTATAGTAGTGTTATCAGCTCTTTGAAAAGAAAACTGAGTACAGATGATGATCTATTTATGTTCATAAATAACAACAATTTTACGAGGGTGGAGGAATGGGAAGTCATTCCAGTTTGACACAGAAACACAGACATTAGAAGCAGATTTCTTCAGTCGGTCACATTCAGTTCCAGATTAAAAACTGTGGAAGATCCAAGCCTTGGACCGGAAACCTTGATCTCTTTCTCTCTCCCCCTGCTTTTTCTTTTTTTTAATGTTCTGGTAAATCGGTTGTCTGCTACATAGCCTTTCTTTTGTTTCCTATTCTAATCTGACAGAAATTTTGGGAGTTGGCGAAACAAGTGAGTGAATTTATGACGTGGAAGCAAGTGGAGTGCCCATTTGAAAGGGATCGCAAGATTCTGCAGTACTTGCTTACTGTCTCAGTCTTCAGTGATGATGGTAAGGAGCTTGGGACTTCCTGTAGGTCAGGTATCACTTGGTGTTTCTCAGTCTCTATCTATGTTAAGTTATTGCTACTTCTTTACCAATAAAGAAAGACTTCATCATGGGACATCTCTGGCTGGGAAATTACAAAATGCTCCTCCCTTACAAATAAGGGAGAGAATAAGCTCTTTCGTTCAGTGTGCATATGGTCTGTGAAAAGTGACTCTGTTCTTTTTTTTTTTTTTTTTTTCATTTTAACCTCTGAGCCGAAAAGCTTTTTTTTTTTTTTTTTTTTTTTCCCTGAAATGGAATGAAGAAACTTTACGAGCATGTAGTTACCATAAATATCTTCTGAAGTGTGGAAGTGCACCTGAAGTTACATGGACTTGCAGGATGCTTTACACTAAAGGGTGTTGCTAGAAAGAGAAAATTGGGGCTTAGCTCTTTGCTTACAAAGCGCCAGCACCATGGCCCTGGGCTCATTTTTTCCCTTTGAGAGGGTTTTCTTCCGCTCTCATGCTTCTTAGTTTTTGACTAGCTGTTTTTGCCCCTTGGGTATTCTTTGTTCTCACGTACTTTTTGTTAACGTTGTCTGGATGTAGTTATAAGCAATGCTATACTTCTGAACGGGATTCTGGAGCCCTAATCTGAGGGATGGATAATATAGGCCTGCTTCATTAAACTTCAGTCCACTGTACAGGGAGAGCAAATTTTAAAATGCCGGTAGGCCTAAACATACTGTATTTGTTTCTGATTGCAGCACTTTACTTGGCTTCCTATGAGAGCGAAAGTCCTGAGAATCACATTGAAAAGGACAGATGGAAGACACTGAGGTTTGTGTCAAAGGTTGTTCGCATCAATAAATAAAGAGAATAGGATATAGAGCCAGCATCAGACAGTTAAAACCAAATGGCATGCTACATGCTTCAACAGATGGGGCACAGCATCAGTGTAAATTTCCCCTTTGCTCCTAGACTCTTGGAAAAATGAGCACAGCCAATTCTTCTTGATCTTAAACCCTTTCAACCCTCCTCTCCCTCAGGGGGTAGGAGATTAATTTCTTCTGTCATTCAGTATCAGAAAAACACTTTCTAAACTTCAAAGAAGTCTCCGTTTCCTCACAACTACTACAGAGCACTCCAGTTTTCAGGCAGACATTTCCTGAGATATTGCATCCCTTTTTGCATGTATCTTTTCAGGCAAGGATGGGTTTTGCACAAAGAGCATTCTAGGGCAAACCTATTCATGAAACAGGGTAACACAAATCAGAGTTTCAGCTGGGAAAAACAAATTTAAGCAAATCCCACTCTTGACTCTTCTTCCACTGCTGGCTGAACACAGCCTAGTCACTACTTTCATTTTGTTAATGATGAAAAATATATTAGTCAGCAGGGTAGCCTTTTAGCTGCTGCTTTGCCAGTTAACGTACAAAAAAAGTGAATTCATGGCAGCAGGAAAAACTAATCAGGCACATAAATGGAGACAAAGAGGGTAAATATATAGGTGTATGGATAGTCTGTATTTTCACCCCTGAACCGCACTTCCACTGTATTCTTCAAAATATTGATATCCCAGGGATGCCACACAAGACCAATAGTCAGTTATTCTCAGCTCAGGCAGCTGGTACATTAACACCTAAAGGCACCTGTGGACATAATATCCCAACTGTTCTGATCCGCTCTGCAATATCAGAGAGACAACCATACAAGCATACTACAACCTTAGGGATTTTTTGAGCTTTGCTCTCTATTTAGGCCATGTTGCTTCTTCCTAGGGTATCATGGGAGATGTAACAATTCCATCTGACTAGTCCCAGTTCATTTGGGGAGGGGAGGGAAAAGGAGAGCTCTTCACATCAGTATACAGCCACTCCTCGTAACACGCAGAGGCAAGATGGAGAGAGAAAGACTTTGGGCTTGCAAATCTGTAATAACACTAACCTCTGTTTCGCAGGATCCTTATCTGAGGCCCTCTGAACCTATCTGAAAAGATTTGCATCATTCTAAAAATTGTCTCTACTTATTTATTTTTCTCTCTTTCAGGTCAACGCTTCTAGGCAGAGTCTAATATATGAGATGGCTGCTGTTTCTGCTGTTGCTATGTTATGTGGATTATTAAGGGGCATGGCTTGGTTTATTTTTTTTTTTGTGCACCGAGTGGCATTCAGAGTATTGAGAACTGTGCAGTCAGTCAAGATACCGTGTCAGCAAAGATGAAACAAGTCAACAAACAGGACAAACAAGCAGCTTCTCGCATCTGACAAATGAGATTAAATCACAGGCCACTCGGTTTAAGTATTGATTGAGGACAGTGCTGACAGAATCCTTTGAAGAGCTCAGAATGCCGCCTATGAATCATTTCACACCTGGACAGAATATTTTCCTGTTCCTTTTGTTGGAGCTTGCTGCTACTAGGACTCTGCAGGTTGATACTAGGTTGCAGAGGAGAAAAAAAATCACCATTCCTTTTGCTAAAACTCAAGTCTGCATCAAAGAACTTCCATTCCGAATAAGCTGAACATAGCCAGGACTTTTGCCTGAATCAGGATTGCTAAGAAGGGAAAGGACTGGACACAACAATAGGCTGCTGGGGACTTTCTCCCCACCACTGTAATGGTGGCTTTTTTTTTTTTCTTTTTCCATTATGTTTATGAGTTGGCTGCTGGCAGGCAAACTCATTATTATTCTAAGTTATTTTAAAAATATATAGTAATAAAAATAAGACTGTGGTAGAAAACACATCTGCTAGAAAAATACAGTAGCGATGTAGCCTGGACTATTCTACGTCTTGTAGGGAGTTGTTTTCTTTCTTTCAGCTGTTTACAACTAACCACTACATGCTACAGATGTTCTTATTTTTACTATACTGTTTTGTTACTCTAATTTTCCATACTTGACTTTCTTCTTATATTAGGTTGAACAAGCTGACTTTTCTAGAATGGTCTTTGAGAAACTGATGTACAAACTATGTTAAAATATGAAGGTATGTTTTTATTAAGTCATTTCTATGATTGCTTTTTTTTGAAAGGGTAACAATGGAGAGAACACAATCCAGCCTGACTGAAATTGCAAGATGCCAAAAAGGAAAAAAAAAGATAAGGCTTCTTCTCAACTACAGCTGTGAACAAAGCAGTCTCCCTTTTGCATTTATGTTATGGATTAGCATTATGACTGTGAAATAGTTCAGTATGTTAAACATCTAGTAAGTTTGTAGTAGCTCTGAATACTTAGCCACTCTATTCTAGGAAGAAAGAACCTGATGGGGGTAGGGGGGAAGTAGCTGTAGATCACCCTGGATGCAAAATCACAAAGCAAAAGCACATGGCAAAGAAAGGTATTTGCAATTACCCTGCCACTGTTATTTTAAAAAGAAAAGAAATAAGAATAAAGATATTTGTTGCACTGCATCTCTGAGTTTTCAGGTAGGCTGGTGTTTAAGTATATGCTCTGTCAGTCCCTTTTCAGGCAAGTATTTAATTTCTGAATTCTGTAAGAACATGTTGAAGTACCTTTGGTCAAAAGGGATACTTGTCCTTTACTACTACTACCTGTTTGCTGGTACAAGGTGTTGGAAATCACTGAATTTGATATTCCATGAACCTCAGCTATGAAAGTACTAGGAGCCCCGATGGTGGAAGAGGATTCCTCTCTTCTCCCATTCAGTATGTTAAAGTGAGGGAGACAAATGATGCTAAATCTTTCAAAGGAGAAAATCCATCTTTCAGAGGATTGCTTCTGCGGTTTACAGACTTTAACTTGCAGCCTTCATCAGCTGAATTCTTTCCAACCCTCCTCTCTTGATGGCTCCCTTGTTAAGGCTTCTAGGCAGGACCTTAAGTAAAATGCTGTAAAATGCTGGGGAACATCATGTTTTCCTCCTCCACTTCTTTTGGGAATACCATAGTATGATCATAAGGTACATAAATGAAGGCGGTACCTAAATGAAAATCGTTTCTGTGACAAAATATTTGCTATCATTACCCCGTTTTTTTTTTCTACATTTTCATTTCTAGGGGAAGCCAGAAAGTGGAAAAAAGGGTCAGCTACCTGTGGAAGTAACTTCTCTTCTTCCCTCCTGCACTGTAACATAGTTTGACTACTGGCCTGGCTTAGGAATGCATTTGTTATTTATGCAGTTTGAATGAAGCCTTTGTAAATAAAAGCAGAAATAGCATTAAGCAGCCTCCATCTAGACTGTGTGCTGTGTGTGTTGTCTTGTGGGACCTTTTTTTTTATGGAGGAGAGGCAGCACATGCTAGTGTGATTGGTATGCAGGAGGAGGCTGCCTCCTGGGCACAGTAGCCTGGCAGCAGGTGCAGGAGCCTGGGACTGGTACTTCAAAAGGGAATGCAAATTCCCTTGCCCCAGGCACATCAGAGGCTGCTCCTTGTAGGTGTTTGTGTACTTGGTATTTGATGGTACAGCAATTTGAGTCTCATCGCATGTCGTACCATCTGCTCCATCTTTCAATGCAGCCACTGTGTTGAGCTTTTAACATAGTTTTGAACATCCTGAGCAACTGTTAGACTATTGAACCATTGGCCTGGAAACAGCCAGCAGCACTTACCTGTAGGGAATGAGAGAGAAAATGAATCTTCTAAGGCTCACCAGCTCCTAAAGGAAACATTACACACCCTCTGAAATTAAGAGTTACAAGAACTCATTAACTGTAAAAGTTCAGTATTCAGCCAGGACTGAATAAGCCATCCCAGTTCAGTGGTGACAGATACTCAGTGCTAAATAGGGACAGAAGCGACGCTTAAGTCGATCCTTTAAAAAGGGCTCAAACACAGCTTATATTTCTTTTTTCTAGTGGTGAAAGAAGAGAGCAAAACTATGAGTCTTACAGACCTATGTGAACTAACTTGTTCAAAAGAGTATAGATGTTTGAAAAGAACAATACCTTTTCTTGTCAAGCAAGTATTTCACGTTGCTGCTGCTGCTCAGATACAGCTTCATGGCATAATCATGAAGAGAAAAGTCAATTGCATGCAAAAATGTGCAAAAGCCTACTTAGAACAGTCATCTCTAAGAAAGCAAGCAAGAATCTATACTGCTGAGCAGTGGCCAGCTCCAATATATGCCCCTGCTTTTTCTTTTTTTTGGCTTTTTTTTTTTTTTGCCCCCTTCCTATACAGCTTGTTCTTGACAGAACTGAAACTGAATTGTTTCTAGCGCTAAAAATTCCTTTTTTAGATAACAGGCAAAATGGCACTCATCTTCTAAGACTTCTCTTGATCTCGGGAATTTTCCCCAGTACTTAGGCAGCATTCCTTTTATCGGCTGTGTGCAGCGAGACCCCTTCTGGACTTTGGAAGAACAAGCCTTTGGTCGTACACCAGTGTCTGCTGTTTAAGTTCCTCTCTGTCACTTCTTGGTTATGCTAACCAGGTTTTCCCCACATAGTAGCAGAGAGAGCAGCAGACTAGCCTGTTGAAATTCATTCCCTCACAGCTGCAACTGTCCTGCTACTGCAGCTGCTGTCACAGAGAGATCCTGATCACCCGCTTCAGCCAAGCAACTGTTCCCCAACCGATGCTTTATGCTTATGGGGTCCTGTCTCATTTCCCAGTGCAAGCGCTGCTTTTAAGCTTAAGAACATGGCTGGTAAAGATTTTCAAAGGAACTGGTCTATTCACAAGGTTACTGTTGCTAGGCTTCTCCTAAGCTGACAGTTCAAACTCAAAATGGATAAAATTCAGTGGGTTTTGAAGTGAGAGCCTAGTCCCAGAAAGTGCACCATTGAAGCCAACCCATGCTTTGTCTCTGTGCTGCATTAAGCTTTTCTGGAATATGCTTGTGTATATTTTTTCCTTTTTTAGAAAATTCTAGCTATAGCATGGCCTAAAAGGATATCTTTTTATAAGCCAAATACATTTGTAATGCATATGTATTTGTATGTATGCATTTCATGGCGATTACTTTTCAGATAGAAAAATATAAAAGATGATGTGAAGAAAGCAGCTGTTTCTCATCAGTATCGATGTAGCCCACAGTAATCTGAGAGCCAGCCATGTTGTGGGGCAGGATATTCTGCTATCCGTTTGTGCTTCTCTTCCCTGTCCTGTGAAAGCCAGAGGTGGGTAAGGGAGGTTATTCTTAGGTGGACTTTCCAGCTGCAATGGAAAGCAGCATCAAGAGCCAGTCGGTTCCAGGGAAGGACAAAGAAAGCAAAGCCTCAGTCTCAGTGTTACAGCAGGATACCTTTGTAAGCCCCAAAGTTTCATCTCACAGTCGAAAGTCAGCATGACAGAACTTTCCTTAGAAAGAACCAGCGTGACATACACCAGTCCATGCAGCTAATAAACTCTGTTGACAAAAAAAAACAAAAACAAAACAAAACAAAACTGAGCCTTTCAACTATTTTCTTTATGGCATGGTAACTTTATAGCACTTAGATTCTGGATGCCTCACTGCTTTTTAAATGTTTCTCTCTGGGAGAAGAGAAAAGTTTAAATATCATCACAAATGACTGTGGGTGAAAGCTCAAGGCAGATTATTCAGAATAGAGTGAATCATGGGAAGAGAAGTTCAAAGAAATGCATCTTGCTATCAGTGAAACAAATCAATCACATTGATACAAAATGATTTTCCAAAGCAGTCTCCAAATTCAGAAATATGTTTTGAAGCTACTGTGAGAAGCATTACAAAAACCACCTTGATACTTTGTTTTCTATTTAACTATAAAGATATTTTTGTAGTATGCGGACAATGACGTTCCTGCCCAGAGACTGGTTTTGTCTTTGCGTCTGTGACCGTGATGGAGAATTTACTATTTCTCAGGGAAACGCTAACACATACTTGCCTATGTCTTTTCAGACTGGGCCATCTTCCACGTTCAAATCATTGTCAGCCCATTCAGAATGGAAAGTTGGTGATAATAAGATGGAATAAAATGCAGCAAACGTGAAAAAGTACGCTGCTTTCTGATTTCAACATCTACAGGAAGACTGCTTTAGCAAAGGTTGGTAGAAAAGCAGAAATGCAACTTTGGGCTGGGAGCCAGTCAGTTTCTTCAGAAGAAGTTAGACTTTCCTTAGACCTCCTCTCCCCTAGACAGTTCAGACAGTTGTGGTTTTGCCCTTCCTTAAAAGAAGTTGGAGGAAGCATTTACAGAATAGAAAAAAGGATCTGGTAGGAAAAGGGTTAGGACCCTTTTCCTGAGACTGTAATCACCTATTTGGGATGAGAGGTACTGAATAGAAATGCAAGTATGCAAAGCTTAGGATACAGTAGTTTCTTTAACATAGGTATGTTGGACTGTGGGCTTGCTGAGCCAAGCTCCACTCATACCCAGAAATGCCAGCGATGTTGTTACAAAGGCAATCAGAGACACGCTGTATCTGTTAAACCACGCAGTAGGGGTCTCTTGCTTAAAAAAGAAATGACAGCAGAATAAAATGTGAAACTGTAACAGGATTAACATGGTAATATGCTAGTAAAAGTTAATTTAAAATCAGAGCCATTAGTCAGAAATATACTTAACAGTGTGGATAGGAGATAGGTTAGAAACTTTGCATGCAGAGCACGAGATGCAAGGAAAAAAGGATTGTGTTTATGGGGATGTGTTTTCCTACCAGGTGATGTTTCTTGCTGCCCTTGCTGCTAGAGTAATGATCTACCCCGAGGTTAATAATGGAGAATGTTATGTTTTTCTCTTAATTTCTCTTTGAGCAAATCTGTAACTTTTCTGGTCCTAATTTCTGTGTGACAGGTCAGAATTGTGCCTAGAGGAAATAGCAAGGGTTGTTTGATGCCAGCTAATTTGATAATCAACAGAGCTATTTCCAGAGGCCAGCTGCTCTCTACTAAAAAAAAGTTTATGCTACTAAATGTTCTCAAGCAATGTTGCAGAGAGCAGATCTCATTTGAAAATCCAACACTAATTCTGAGGGCTGGACATTAAAGAAGTCTGGTCTGTAAATCTCTGCTTTAGGTACAAATATTAGTCAGCTGTAGCCACTGGCAGCCGAGGGACAGGAAAAAGAGGGAGATGAATCTTGTGCACCTATGATCATATGCTATGATTATAATGTAGGTCACCTACAGCCTCTTCGCCATTGTTTAGCCAACTGCTAAAAGAGGGTTAAAATGTTTCTGCCTTGCATAATTACTAAGAAATTAAATTTTGCTTCTCTGAAAAAAGTGATTCACAAATGAAAGTATGCGATTGTGCTTTGTTAATTGCACAGTCTGTATTTTTGGGATAGCAGAGTAAAACAAAGTATAAGAATTCTTTTAAATTTTTTTGCATTTTCATGGTCTTTCCAGTCCTATGCATTGAAAAAATACTCCCTTTACTGCCCAGATCAGAAGATTGATTTAAACACTGCAGTAGCTTTAGTGAATGCATTCTGAGTTTTTTTCAGTGTGTTTTGGGAACGTGTTACCAACTTTGTTGTTCATTGCAACTACCAGAGCTTGTAATTTCCCTTATTCTTCAAAATAATGGTATGGTTCTCCCACAGTTACATGACTCTTGGAGCCACACCTTTGAGAAATGCACTATACATCACATGACTAATGATAAATCGCAAGCAAAGTCCAAAATAAACGTTGCTCCCTTTACCTCACTGAACAGGAAACAAATGGCTATGCAGAGTGAAGCTAAATTTTTGGCCTCCTGAGTTAACTCTTGGATGATCACTGGGAAATGCAAGTTCTTTCCCTTGTGTTATTTTTGTCAACTCTTTGTTGATCTGAATTGTTAGTCACCTATAAAACCTGCTCTTTCAGAAGATGCTCAGCTAAGTGAGCGTTCCAGACCTTCAAGCCTTCACTAAATCTCTCTGAAAAATGCTTGTCATTTTTTTCTAGCAAGATTTTGTTCTGATGATACTTACGATAATTTATTTCAGCTTGTGTAAACTGAAAACCAGAAACTGCTATATATTTTGAGCTGTTTTCACAAAACATATTTGTGTTTTTTTGTAATGAAAATATATCTGAGAGTAATACTCAAGCGATATGTCATTATTAGATTAGGGTTCAAGAGAAAAGGAGTGATAAGTATATGAAATAATTTTTTAAGAGACAAAACTTAGAATTTTCATTACACTCAGTACCAAATGAAATATTTTCATCCGGAAGGTAGTCCTTCACATCTGTAATACCGAATTGGAGGTCAAAGTACATCTTTTGTTGAAGTGCTATTGGATACTTGTCAGTATGTAAGAAATGGAAAGTCACCTT